TGATGGCCCAGAACACGCAGGACATGGAGGGCGTTCGTACGGCGGTGCTGACTAGCATGTCGAGATATGGCGAATTGCTGTCAAGTTGGCCATTTTTCGTCGCGACGTCTACCAGAAGCACGCCCAGATGACGGAGGACCTGAAGACCGTGTTTCCGACCAGGACCGCAACATCGATGCCCTGCGCAGCGAGATGCATCCCCCCGGTTCCAACGGCATGGGCATCGAGAGCGCGCTGTCCGCTCTTGCCGCCAAGTATGACGAGATCGAGCGCCAGCTGCAGGACCTCGCAGACCGTCAAAGGATCTTCGAAGGGCACATCGGAGGCATCCTCTCGGCACCGACTCCCCCGCCCTCTCCTTCCACTTTGGCTCTTCGGTAAGTGACGGATCTCGCCGCGCCGCGAGCCAAGTCGAGAAGGCACAAGACGACGCGCGCAAGCTGCTGCTGCTGGGCTCCCCGAGGCCCCTTTCTCGCAAAAGACCTGAAGTCCGCGGGCGCCGCCTGTGCCACGGCGTTCGCCAGCTCTGCCGACCGGCAGGAGATCATCGTCCGCGCATTCGACCCGTCCAAAAGTGAGCCCGTTTTTTGAGAGCCCACTCGCAGCGAGCACGTTCTTAGATAATTTTTCGTCGAGGACGGGGAACTCGTGGGCCCATCCCGATCCTCTTCCCCCTGCTGCCTTTTTATCTTTGAGAGTGCGTCGCGATCTCGACTTCAGTACTCGCCAGTTGTTTCTTTCGCTCGGTCGTGCCCGTGCACGTTTGAATGAGTTGCTCCCCCCGAAAGGATTTGAGGCTGGGAGCGCAGGTCTCAGTGGCACCGCATATGTCTTTCGGAGTGCCCACGACCCCGTCGCCGCTGTGAAAGTCTCGGTTGGTGACGACGATGTTGTTCCAGTGGCCTGCGAACGAGATGTGTTTGTTGAATTCGGCGTCCAAGACCATATCACCTCAGCCGAGCAGGAGGGGCGGTGCTTCTGCGCCGTCCCTTTTGCCAAGACGGACTCTTGGAGGGCATCAGCACGATGCGCTACCCATTTCAATTTTTGTCAAACGCGCGATATAGTTGCAGCACGGGAAACGCACGGGCACGAATGGGGACATCGTTGAGCTTCAGCACCAGCTGCCTGGACACGCGTTCGCGTTCACCTTGTTCGCGGACTCCGTGCGCGAGGGAGGGACTGTCATTGCGGTCTCAGCCGAGGTCGCTTCTCGCTTCTCTTCTATCCTACATACTACCCTGGTCGCTGGGCGTGTCTTGAAGAGCATGTTATTTAGGTATTCTGGCAACTTGATTGCGCGCAATCTCCACTTGCCCAGCGCCCCCGACCCGCTCGCTCTCTTCTCAGGGACTTTGAAGATTGCGAAGCAGGATGTTGCTCGCCACTGCGAAGGTGGCTCTGAATGTGCGGCCCATGCTCTCTTCATGGGCGACTTGAATTATGTTTAGGAGGAAGAACGGAGGTTTGCTGGAGATGGGTGTGGGTTCGCCGCTGGCGACGCTTCTCACGCGCGCGCTTTTACCCCCTACCTCCCGCACCTCGTTGAGATGCACCAGGGCCTGGACACTCGTCGGGGGGGGGAAGGGATGGCCGTCGATAGAACGCCCCGGGTCGCTTCCTCCCGCCTTTTTCCGCGACCTTACTATTGCGACCTCGACGATTCCTGAAGTCTTCGAAGCCGAGTGATCACATTCCCGTGGAAGCGGTCTTCGAATCGCATCGCCTTGGCCCCGGTTCCCCTTGCATCCCGCCTTAGACTGCGAGGGCGCCCGAGTTTGGACAGGCTCTTGGGCGCCTTCTTTCGGAGATACCGGAGGAGTGGGATGTCTGGGCGAGGCTTGCGGCCGCTAAAGCTTCCTGTTTCAATGCTGGGAAAGCCGCGAGACGTGTTCTTCGCAGCCGTGGGGCTAGGGCGAAGCAAGAGCGGCACCATTGGGCCCCACGCGCTCTCCGCGCTGCGCAAACCGGCGGGGCCGCTCGCCTCCAGCTTGCATTTCAGTGCTACCCGAGGCGCAGCATACACTTCGATGTTTTTTTTCCATTGCTTTTACCTTCGCGGGCTTTCTCAACATGTGCTTCATTTGCATCGGCAGATCTTAGATGAGGAGGAGCAGGAGGTTCAGCGTGCCAACGTCGACGACGCTACGAAACGTTCCCAGGCGGCCCGTCTTCGTCGTCGCAAACTTTTCCGGCAGAAATTTCGGAGGCGCACGGTCCTGGGCTCTGCGGTCGTTCCTGAGGGCACCCCTACTGGCTCCAATGCCGAAGCGGCACGTGTTCTTGGCGATCATTGGGCTGCGGTCTTCTCTGCCCCCGAGGTTGATGCGACTATGTGGAATGACATTTCCCCCCGCATCAGGAAGCTCGAGGGCCCGCTTAACCGTGATTGGATCTTGCCCTACCCTGAATGGTATGAGATGGCCTTAGGTCGTACACGCAGCACTCCTGGTCCTGACGGGCTACCCTATGATGCTTGGAAACACCCGTGCGCGTCCCGCCCCCTCTATTCCTGCTATCTCGCCCTCTTCGACGACCGCGCATCCACCCTCCCCGATGACGCGCCATGCAGTCCGATGGTCTTTCTCCCGAAGGGCACGGACCCGAGCGGTGCACCTGGGCAGGGTCTCTCCCGTTCTGCACCGAATACGCGTCCGTCCACTTTGGGCAATGCAGACGTCAAACTTTTAGCCGCCGCCTGCATCTCGCCAGTCGTTGCCCACGCCTCGCGCCCCGTCGGGCACGAGCAGATATGTGTAGCAGGGGTGGGGCATCATTGATAACGTAGTCTAGGCAGAGGCTTGGGGGTGATGCGGTACATTAATGATAGCAAACACTCGGCCAATATTCTCACCTGCTGTGCTTCTGCTTTTTCCCAGCTTATCGCAGAGCTGGCGGTTTTTTGTCTTGCGCGCGATGGGCATCCCCTCCCACATTATCCAGTTCTGCGCTACGATGCATGATTCGACGACTGCGATTATCACTTTTGGCGGTCAACGCTTCCGCCCTATCGACATCCGCTCAGGTGTTAAGCAAGGGTGCCCCGCCTCCATGTTCCCATTCGTACTTGCCGTCGCCCCTCTCCTGGACTGGGTCCGACATAGATGTTATGCCTCCCTTGGCCTCCACCTCGCCGGCGCCGATGATTTTTGCTTTCGGGTGTTGAACGTGATATCCGATCTGGGTGTGCTCCTCTCTGCGTTGATGCAGTTGGCGCCCATTGCGAACCTGCATTTTAACTTCGGGGAGTGACAGCTCATCTTGTGTTGCGCTACGGATGCCGTCCATATTGCTGCTGTTTTTGGGACGTATTGTTGCCGTCCATATTGCTGCCGTCCATACTGCTGCCTCGAAGCATTGTTGGAAAGATGCGTGGGGCATGCATTGGTTCCCCTCCTGCCTCCTCCTCGCGTCTGATAGCGTGTCCGCTATTTTGAAACGTGCTGCCTGCATGGATGCTTTTTCTGTGTGCGCCTAACGCTCGCCGCCTGTCGCAATATGCTGCCCCCGAGCTAGTGTTCGAGGCGCGCCTGAGGGTCACCTCTCGGCGGCGCCCGAAGCTTACGGCGGCATGGGGCGAGGCTGGCGCCCTTCGTTCTCGTCATCTGGCGAGGTTGGCTGCCCCCTGAACCGGAGCGCTGCCGAGGAGGGCGCCAGGCATTCTTCGAGGCAGGTGGGAACTTCCCGAGTCTGTACCGCAGTCGCCTCGCCAGGTCCGGGTTTGTACTGCTCGGCAAACTCGCCGGCCGCCTTCAAAAACAAACCATAACAACCCAGCGGGAACTGGATAAACAACCATCATTATCGTGATCTTCGCTGTGATCACCATCGCCATCATCGGCGTCATTAACATCGCCTTCGTCACCGTCGTGACTTTGTTCTTCGCATGTCCCTTTCGGCACACCCCTCGCACGGTTTGTGTCCCCACAGGGAACTCCACCGAAGGCCCCAGCGGCAGGGTCAGCATGCGCCCCCCCCGCCCATTTCGGCACACCCCTCATGAGGGTCGTGGCCCCATGGGGAACTCCACCGAAGGCCCCAGTGGCAGGGTTCGCATGCGTCCCCCCGCACATTGCGGCACACCCCTCAAGAGGATCGTTGCCCCATAGGGAATTCCATCGAAGGCCCCAGCGGCAGAGTCCGCATGCATCCCCCAGCCCATTTCGGCACACCCTTCGTGGCCCCATAGGGAGGAGCTCCACCGAAGGCCCCAGCGGCAGGGTCCGCATGCGTCCCCCCGCCCATCGGCACACCCCTCTCGTGGCCCCATAGGGAGCTCCACTGAAAGTCCCAGCGGCAGGGTCAGCATGCGTCCCCCCCGCCCATTTCGGCACACCCCTCACGAGGAGCGTGGCCCCATGGGGAACTCCACCGAAACCCCCGTCGGCAGGGTCAGCATGCGTCCCCCCGCCCATTTCGGCACGCCCCTCACGAGGATCGTGGCCCCGCAGGGAGCTCCACCAAGGCGGGCGGGTCGGGGGGAAGGGGGGGTGTTCTGGACCCCGTGGGTGCTTCGGGGGGGCATATGTTTGACCCCTCCTTCGGATTTGTCTTTTAGGGGGGATGGGCCCCTGGTTTTTTGACACCCATTAAAGTGTTCAGGGGCCGCCGACGACGGATCGCGCTCCTTTTATTCGATTTTCTCCACGACGGTGGCGCCAATGCATCGCCGACGTCTCCAGCGCATGGCCGACGCATCGGCGATTCACCCGCCATGTGGCGCGATCTTCCGACCCCCTCTGGTCGGACCCTATTGAGCCATGCAGCAAGTCGGGTCCGGCTGCGCGGCCATTCGCAGGTGAGTTGCCCTTTACAGGTCGCGCGTGTGCGCTTCCGTTTCGAACGCAGTGCCGCGCCACGCTGGCGGCCCGCGTAAGCCACCGCGCAATATCGCTACGGGTCAGCTCGCGTAAGGCCCGCTTCTTTTCGTCGCTCACTTAGGAGACCTCAACCCACCCAGTCCAAAAGCACAGTCGGGCGGGGGTCGGCGGATCTTCGAGATGCTGGTCGGGCGCAGGCCCTTCGACGGGGACGGCGGCAACGTGGTGGTGCTGTGGTGCCGCGTGGCGCAGAGCGAGCCGCCGCTGGAGGAGCTGACGCCGTTGGCGCAGGAGTCATGGGCAACGTCTGGGGGGATGAGCGTTCTGAGGAAAGCATCGGGTTCGAGTTTGGCGCTTCCCGAGCGTTTTCGTAAGTTCCCGTCGGTATCCCACTTTCGGGATGCTTTCCAGCGGCTGCGCCTCGCCGAGGGTGTTCTGGGTTTGCCAGAATCGTCCCGAACGGCAGCCTGAGGCCCAAGTGGTGCCCCAGGGATATGCTCAGGGGGAAGCGCATCGACCCCCGATCGCCCATTCATGTCCGAAAGGGCCTGATTGCCCCGCCCGCCCCGTAAAAGGTGCGGAATCGCTCTCGGGGGCCTGTCCTCCTCCTATTCCTCCTCCTCTTCCTCCTCTTCCTCCTCTTCCTCCTCCCTTCTCCTCTCCACCCCTCCTCCCTTTTCCTCTCCACCCCTCCACCCTTTGCTGTCTGCGATGTATCGTCGCTTTCAGGTCGGCGCTCCCCTCCCCGTGAGTCGGTCCCGCCCCGAGCGTAGTCCCTCAAGGAGGTCGCGCGCGGCCTGCTGGAGAAGGACCCCATCGCCAGGCTGCCTCGCCGTCGTCGGGGGCATAGGTAACCCAGGTCTCCAAAGTATCGAAGAAGCCATGCAGCGTTTTTTATATCTTTTTCGGCCTCTGGGGGTCCTCGCCTGGCCCCAGGACCATTACGAAACTGCTCAGGAGAAAGCCGGCCCAGTGAAAAGGGTCGGGACATCCGGGGGCGTCGTCGGGGCGCATGTCGCTCATGCGATCTGGACGTTGCAGTTTTTCAAACCGGGCTTTTCCTCCCGGTTTCCGGGCTCCGGAAGTACCACAGGTCGGTCTGGCTCGAATAATGGAGCATGGCCCTTGTCGTGATGTTTGCGTTGTTGCAAGTTTTCGAGAGAAGAAACGGCATATATGATCCCTGGCTCCGGGCCCACGGCCCCCCCCTGATGGGATGGGGGGGGGACGACCACGACGACGACGACCACGACCACGACCACGACCTCAACGACCTCAGATCTCTGCCAGAGGTCGACCGCCGTGGCTCCCTGAAGCACCGCAACAGCACGCCACACCCAGAGAAAGGCGACGATGGCGAAGACACCGTCGACGACGATGTTGCGTCTCCTCCCTCCGTCCCCCTCCTCATCTCGTTCCTCGGCGCTCTCGTCCCTTTTTTCTCACCTCTCTCGTTTCCTCTCCCCAGCCGCAAGAGGAGGAGGAGGAGGAGGAGGAGGAAGAGGGAGGAAGAGGAGGAGCAGCAGCAGCAGCAAGAGGAGAAGGAGGAGGATGAGGATGAGCAGGAGAGCAGCAGTAGGATGAGCAGCAGCAGCAGCATGAGGAGGAAGAGGAGTAGCAGCAGCAGGTCATCATCATCATCATCATCATCATCATCATCATCATCATCATCATCATCATCATCATCATCATCATCATCATCATCAGCATCATCATCATCATCATCATCATCGTCGTCATCATCATCAGCATCGTCATCTGAATTTCATGCTTCTCGTCATCGTCATCGTCGTCGTCATCGCGGGGTGGACAAGCACGGGAGGGGTCGCCTAAGGCTCGTTGCGACCTCCTCCTCGTCCTCCCTCCTCTTCCATCTCCTCCTCCTCCTCCTCCTCCTCCTCCTTCTCCTCCTCCTCCTCCTCCTCCCTGCTCCTGCTCCTTCCCTGCTCCCCTGCACCATTCCCTGCCCCTTCCCTCCCCTCCTCTCATGCCATATTGCCTCCTCCCCGCCCTTTCGTCTTCCCTCCTTTCTTTTGTGCAAGTGCCCCCAGTGCAAGCGGCCTCAACCACAGCGCGTTGCCAAAGAGCGCAATTCAAACCAGGGACGCACAGGAACACCACAACGGTGACGCGAACCAGCGCGCCACGAACGGGCTGCATGTGCAAGCACGAAACAGAGCGCAAAAATTCTTCACGCTTCGCGTATCCCCACCAGCCCATCTCAAAACAGCAACTCTTGCGAAGCATGCGGACAGTCGTGTTTTTCAGGCGTGTTTCCGCCTGCCCCCGCATATCTCCCCTGTTCCTCCTTCCTCCCGCCTCCTTGTACATCCTCCTTGTGGTGGGAGCGGGAGAAGGACGAGGCGGAGGAGGAGGGAGAGAAAGCGCTCCTCGTGGTTTGAGTCGTTTGGGGTTTCTCGTCCTGGTGTGAGTCGTTCGGGCCCTTCTTCCTGGTGTGAGTCGTTCGGGCTCTTCGTGGTGTGAGTCGTTCGGGCTCTTCGTCCTGGTGTGAGTCGTTCGGGCTTCTCGTGGTGTGAGTTGTTCGGGCCCCTCGTCCTGGTGTGAGTCGTTCGGGCCCCTCCTCCTGGTGTGACTCGTTCGGGCTCCTCGTGGTGTGAGTCGTTCGGGGCCCTCGTCGTGGTGTGAGTCGTTCGGGCTCCTCGTGGTGTGAGTCGTTCGGGCGCCTCGTCCTGGTGTGAGTCGTTCGGGCCCCTCCTTCTGGTGTGAGTCGTTCGGGCTCTTCGTGGTGTGAGTCGTTCGGGACCCTCGTCCTGGTGTGAGTCGTTCGGGCTCCTCGTGGGGTCTCTTGGGGGACTCTTGGAGCCTCTTGGGGCCTCTTGGGGGCCTCTTGGGGGCCTCTTGGGGGCCTCTTGGGGGCCTCTTGGGGCCTCTTGAGGCCTCTTGGGGGCCTCTTGGGGGCCCCTTGGGGGCCTCTTGGGACCGCTGGGCTGCCTCTGGGGGGCCTCTGGGAGGCCTCTTGGGAGCCTCCTGGGAGCCTCTGGAGGCCATCTTGGGGCCTCTTGCGACCTCCTCAGGAGCGCCAATGAGAACTGCCCCCTGAAAAGAACAACATGAGCCCAACACCTGCGTAAAAGCAATGATTTTGCTATGAAGGAAGATGAGCGCTGACCCCTCAGAACGCCAAAATGGGGCCAACACCCTAGTAAAATCAATGACTTTGGCTTCAAAGAAGCGCAGAAGGGGCCAAACTGTGCCCCCCCGTCGGGGCCAGAATCCTCGTGAGGGTCGTCGTTTTTTTGGCCCTCCCAGGAGTCGGAAAAGACCCCTCCAACGACCCGCGGGACCCCCTCTCCAGGCCCAGGGGGAGGGGGTAGGGGGAGGGGTAAACCCCTCCCCGAAGGGGAAGAAGGGGGTTGGGGGATTGAGAACAGAGAAAGCTCGCTAAACCACTCACGTCAAACCAGGGACGCACAGGAACACCACAACGGTGACGCGAACCAGCGCGCCACGAACGGGCTGCATGTGCAAGCACGAAACAGAGCGCAAAAATTAACAATTGGCGTTAGTTTCCCCTCAGCACGGGCCACGCCAAAAAACAGTTTTCGTCGTGCCGAGGACGCAATCTGCTCCGCCCAGGCTTTTAACCTGCGGGCGCAGGCCAGATTGGGCGCGCACTCGACTTCATCGAAGGAGGCCGCGCCCATCTGATTACGGGTGTGATGCACGTTTACAGATTGGCACCTCCCCTCCGTCAAATCTAACAGTTTTGCGTCATGCCTGGGACGGCGATGCGTATGCCGATGTCACTGCCGATGCCGACGACGACGACGACGACGACGACGACGACGACGGCGGCGGCGGCGGCGGCGACGCTTAGCTGCTGAAGCGGGCCCCCTAACCACCGCACACCCACGAGGGGGCCCCCACTACACCCACAGGGGGGGGTCCACTGATGCTTGCAGGGCGCAGTTGCGCATCCTGGCGCAGCAGATCCGATGTGAGTTCGACTCCGTGTCGATGCAGACCGATCCAGCGCACGTTCCGTTCCGATCGATTTCCCGATTCGACGCGGATTGACAATGTGTTCGTTTCTTCCGCCTTATGTTGCAGCTGGCCATCATCCCTCTTCACTAGCTCTTCTGGCCAGGGAGAGGGGGTCCAGCCCAGAGTGTACGTTCATGCAGTTGCTGTTTTCCTCCGAGGTAACCCAGAAGTTTCGTTTCTTCCAAGATAGCCCGGAAGTTTCGGGGTTATATTCTATCGGATGGCGTTTGTACGTGTTGTTGGGCGGGGCATGCACCAGAGTCATCACACACTGACCTGAGGGTGGTTGCAACCGCTTTTAGGTGGGATGCCTCGGTGCAACCGTGATATCACATCCTTCCCTGCTTTCGAGGGTGGGGTACACAAATTCTTGAGATCTCTTGGGACCTCAACGCGGTGCCTGTCATCGAAAAGGAAAGCTCGAGAGATTATTTGAAGTCGTCGGAGTTTTTCGTGGCCCAGGGCGGTCATCATCAGCTTCGCCTCGTCGAAAGCATTATGTGGTGCCGGAATCGTCCCTGGGGGCCACCTGAGGCCCGTATTATGGCCCGGAAGCCAAAACAGGGAGTCGCCTACCAGGGTGCATTTCGATCCGATCGTTCCGACTCGGTATGGATTCCAGCCGGCGCGGTCTGGTTCGATTCCGACATGTTTGCGATCCGATGCGGCCCGATGTTCGCATGAGCTCTGTGTCGTATCCTGGCGCAGCCGATCCGATTCGAGTTCGGCTCCCTGCTGCCCGATGTAGCTCGATCCAATGCACATTTTCCCAGTTTGTCGATTCGGTGCTACCTGCTAACCGATCCTGCCAGGCTGACCGCGCAGGAGTGCTGCCGGCAGGAATGGTTCACCCAGAACAAGCACCACCGCTCCTCATCCCGCATGGAGCGTAAGAGCACGGAGCCAGCCATGGAGGCCATCAAGAGTTTTCAGCATAGAGGTTACTTCCACCGAGTCTCCATGTTTGCCGTTGCCGCGGGCGTCAGCATGCACGAGATGGAGGACCTGTTCAAGGTATACATGTTGCCTTGCGGCGGCTGCCAGGTAGTTTTTCCTGCCTTGCTTGAGCAACCGCCATTGTGCCGTTAAACCTGCATTCCACAGGTTTCCCAGTGGACCTTCCTCCAGCATTTCTTGCACCGAGTGGGTTTCTGATTCCGTTCCACAGACGTTCTTCGCTACCACGAGTTTCCTTGGCTCGGCCCTACTTCCGGCTCGGTCTGGCGATTTGGCTGCCACAATTTTCTTTGGTTCGGCTTTGTTCCGGGCTCGGTCCTTCGCCATGGTTGCCTAGACTTCTCTTCAATCGGCCTCGTTGCTTCCAGCTGGTTCTGGCCGCGCGGCGTTGCCCTGCATCCGTCCCGTCCCCTAGGGCTCAGGAGTCGGGCACTTCGGCTTCGCGCCCAGGAGTTCGACTTTTTTGCCAGCGACGCAGGGTTCACTGTGCCATCGCAGCTTTTCGTGCAGCGTGACAGGTTGTTATTCTGGCCTTCCGATGGGATTTAGCCCATATTGTTAAGTCCGGCATGTCTCTCTACAGGAGGAATTCGGAATGTTGCAGACATCCGAGCAACATGCGAGGGATTGTGAAGCAGGTTGTCCACAACCATTGGCTTGTCAAAACATCCGTGCCAGGAACCATAGCATGGTAGCGCGGAGCTTTGTTCCCGAGCTATGGATGAGGCCCTCAGGGCCCTAGAGGCCAGACTGGTCGCCGCAGAGCAGCAGATAGTGGAGCGGCATCGCCAAGAGGAAACGCTGCAGAGCAGAACCAGCTGGCTGAGGCCAAAACGGTGATCGACAGGCTTTCGGCTCAGGCGACGGCGGCCCCACCATATCCCCCAGGACCACCAGCGGCGGCGACTACGACGGGTCAGAACGGCGACGCCCTGGTGGATACGAGAGCCCTCGGCAAGCCGCTGCCGTCCTCAGGAGACGCAGCAGTGGTCCTTCACGTTCAGAGCCTATGCTGGAGCGTTCGACGCATCGTGCAGGGAGGTTCTGGACTTCGCGGCGAGACGGACAGATGAGGACCAGCCCATCAGCAACATCACGGTGGAGCCTCATAAGAGGAGGCTGTCGGCACAGATCTTCTATGCGCTGGCGTTCACCTGCCGAGGGCGAGCGCTGTCAGTGGTGCAGCGTGTGCCTGGGGGCTGGGGCATCGAGGCATGGAGGCAGCTATGCATCGAGTTCGAGCCGGAGCTCCCGAGTCGCTTCCAGGGCATGCTGCAGCAGCTACTGGACCCTGTGCGTGGCTCAGACGCCGTCGAGAACATCTATGCGTGGGGGCGGAATCTGAAGCAGTATGAGGAGCAGTCGGGTGACACCATGACCGACACGATCAAGCTAGCGACGCTCAACAGCAAGCTCCTGGAGGGCAACCTGAGGACCCACCTCAACCTGCAGGCGGGACGCCTGCAGACGTTCGAAGCGGCCAGGAACGAGGCGATCTCGTACCTGCGCTCGACCGCCAGGCAGGAGCAGGAGCCCGTGCCCATGGACCTGAGCCCAGTGACGGGAGAGCTGTACCCTATGACGCGGGGCGGCAAAGGCAAGGGCAATGGCACGGACAAGTCAGGCAAAGGAAAGGACCACGACGGCAAAGGTAAGAACAAGAGGGTCTGCTTCTATTGCGCCAAGCCGAACCACGCGAAGCAAGAGTGCAGGGCGCTCGCGACGGACCGCGCGAACAAGGACATCAAACCAGACAGGGCAGGGCGATACATGGGAAAGCCAGTCGACAAAGTCACTGGCAAGCGTGCGGGCGCCGAGAAGAGAGACATGGCAGCGCTGACAGCGCTGTCAGATGACGACTACTACGATGAGGCAGACGGTTTCGTCTTTGCCCTTGCTGACGAGGTGATCGTGGTGGGGGACTGCTGCGCGCTCGAGGGTGACGAGTTCGACCTCCTCTTCGACGCGCGCGCGGCGAAGAGCGTCTGTCCACCGACATGGGCCCCGGAGGTCGCTGTCGAGGAGTGCCGCGGCACGGCGCTGTACCAGGCGGACGGCAACGAGGTCGCATTCCACGGCAGGAAGGAGGTGGGCATGGTGGACCAGAGCTCGGGCGAGCAGTTGACGGTGAACTTCGAGGCGAAAGGACTGCGGAAGCTGATCATGGTGGCGAGCTCGGCAGTCGACGCGGGCTACAGAGTGTGGCTGTACGATGGAGGGAGCTACGTCGCGATGCCCAAGCACGCGAAGGAGTTGGCGACGGTCGCGAGAGACAGCGTCGGCAAGAACAGGTCCGTCTGGTTGAGGCGGAAGAACAGCATCTTCGTCATCCCAGCTCGGCGGTGCTCGAGCAGCGGCGAGCTGTGCGCGGCGACGGAGAAGGGCGAGGAGCCGAAAAAGCGCGCGAGGTTCAGCGACGACCTCGAGGAGAGCGAGAACGCCAGGCCCGCGCTCACCATAGCGCTTGCGCCTTGGCCGAGCGCGGAGGAGAAGGCTAGGCACGTGCTGACCCGCTGCCCGCACCTCGACCGGCGCAGGTACTGCTCGACGGGCCAGGCGACCGAGCGCCCCTGCGAGAGCCAGTCCAAGGAGTCGACGGTGGCGAAGCTCGCGCTGACTACTGCTTCCTGGCGCGTGAGGGGAGCTGCAGAAGGCCACGGCCCTGGTCTTCCCCTGGCGCCGTGGGGGCGATGCAGGTGGCGAAGAAGGGGGTCGATGACGTTGCAGTCGAGTTCGTGCTCTTCTACCTCGAGGCGCGGGGGGCTGGCGAGGTCGTGCCGAGGGCAGACCAGGGGCCAGCCGTCCAGGCGCTGCTTGCGGGGCCACGCCGGCGCCGAGTCGAGCACCGCCTCACTGCGATCGAGAAGTCCACGAAGAACGACAGCAAGGCGAACGGCGGCATCGAGGTGGCGGTGCGCAGGGTGGAGTCGCTCACTCGCGCCTACGTTGCCGTCAACGAGGTCAAGTACAAGACCGAGGTGACGAGCCAGTCGGTGATCCTCCCGTGGCTGGTCAGACACTCGGCGCACATCATCGCCAGGTTCGTACTGAAGAGCGATGGTCGGAGTGCCTAGGCGGCGATGCGAGGTGAGGGGTTCACGCTGCCTCTCGCCGGCGTGGGCGAGACGGTGGACTTCAAGCTGATTCGTAGGGGCCGGTCGAAGCTCGACCCAACCTGGGCCCCGGGAGCGTTCCTCGGGCGGAGGGGCGAGAGCGATGATGTTGTCGTGGGCGCAGCACGAGGGATAGAGTTCACCCGGTCATTCAAGAGAAGATGAGAACGAGCGCTGGATCCAGGAGGAGTCCAGGACGTTCATCGGCGCGCCCTGGAACCCCAGGGCCCCGACGACGGAGGCCCCAGTGGTAAGCGCGAGGCGGAGGTGCATCACTCGTGCCCTGATCCAGGAGCACGGTGAGGGCCCTGATTGCACGGCCTGCCTGGGGCTGTCCAGCATGCGCGCGATCGCCCGCAGGGCTCGCTTCGAGGAGATCTCCAGGAAGCAGGCTGAGCAGCTGATCCAGACACGGCGGGCGAGCGGCGCAGGCAGCGCCGAGGCCCCGACCCCAGGGCCTCCAGGAGGAGACCCAGGACCCCAGAGCCAGCCAGGACAGCCACAGGCCATCGGCGCACCACCAGGGCTGGAGTTGCCTGCGGCCAGCGGTCCGCAGCGCGAAGGTGATTCAGTCCACGACGGAGAGCCAGGGGGGAAGAGGCCAGTCATCGACGTGGCCCCTTCTGCGCCCATGGGCACCGACCCAGAGGCCGAGGCCGCGACCCTCGGCGCGCTCTGCGAAGAGGAGGCCCCCGCCCCGACCTTCGACGAGAAGCCGTTTGCGGGCGGCTTCCACGACCAGTGCACTGGGGAGGTCTTCCCGAAGGAGCTGGTGCTGGAGGGCGTGAAGCGCGAGCTCGACGAGATGGAGGAGTTCGATGTGACGGTCTGGAAGAAGCGCAGCGAGAAGCCACCAGGCGAGAGAGAGTGATCTCCACCAAGCTCTTCCACGCGCGGAAGGGGCCAGGCTGCGCGCGATCACGGATCGTCGCGCGGGACTTCGCTGGAGGCGTGTTCGCACCAAAACATTCTGCAGGGGCGCCTTCGACGTGGGCGCTGAAGCTGGTGATCTCGAGGTTGGCGTCGCGCGGAGAGTCAAGGCAGCTGGCGTCGCACGACATCTCGGCGGCATTCTTCCATGCGCAGCTGACGGAGGCAGTCTGGGCCGAGCCGCCGACGGAGCTGAACTGCCCAGACTGGCTCTGGCTCGCGAGCAAGGCACTGCGCGGGGCGAGGGAGTCGAGCGCTGACTTCCAAGAGCCAGTGCGGGACACGCACCGAGAGCACGGCTGGAACGTCCTGTCGACGGAGCCTTGCTTGGCGCATCGCGGCGAGTGGGACTGCTCGTCGGGGTTCTACGGCGATGACTACGCCGAGGGCGAGCCGCAGCAGCTGGACAAGGTCGACGCCATGACCACGGGGAGCTTCAAGGCCAAGCTCTTCCCAAGGGTTGGGCCAGCAGCTGAGGGCAAGGGTCTGGCCCTACGACGACTTCTAATGTGGGGCCCGAGCGGGTTCATGCTGCTGCCTGACCCGAAGCACTTCGAGAACCTGAGCACGCTGCTGGACCTGAAGGGTGCGAAGCCGTCCCCGGCGCCTGCCAGCAGAGCGACAGGCAAGAGCGCACGAGACGCACTTGAGGAGCTGAAGCGGGCCGAGAAGGCGATCTACTGCAGGGGGACGGGCATGTGCATGTACATCGGCCTAGACCGTTCGACATCCTGTTCGCAGTGAAGCAGTTGGCATTGAATATGGCACATCCGACGTGTTTGAGTACGACGGGGTTACGGAGGCTGGCGCGCTACCTGGCTGGGACGTACGACGTTGGCATCGAGTTCCTCTACCTGGCGCCCTGGGGCGACATCGTGGAGCACGCCGGCGGCGACTGGAGTGGCGACGTCCAGACGTGCAAGAGCACGTCGGCAGGTGCGAACCAGGTCGGAGACCCCAGCGCTGGCCACCTCATAGAGAGCTGAAGTATCACCCAGGGCGCCGTCGCGCTCAGCAGCGCGTAGTCGGAGTGCTATTCGATCGGCTCGGCGGCGGCTCGGGGGATCGCCGTCAAGCAGGTGGTGGTCGAGATCGCTGATCTGGGAGCTGGACGGACGTGCAGCGGATCATCCGCACGGACTCGGACGCGGCCCGCGGCATGAGCCACCGCGTGGGCTGCGGGCGCGCGCGACACCTACAGACGCGCTACCTCTGGCATCAGCAGGCGCTGGGGGAGAAGCAGTTCGAGATCGAGCGGGTTGATGGCAAGAAGAATCCGAGTGATGCAGGGGCGGAGGCGCTCGACCAGGAGGCGCTGCAGGCCTGCGTGGTGAACCTCGGGATCGCGAGCAGGACAGTGGCAGGCTTCGGCCCGGACGAGGCCCCCCAGGTCTTAGCGGCGCTGCTGCTGCGTGCGACGGCGCGGACCGCGCACGGAGCAGACGCGAGCACCTGCGTGGCGGGTGCCATCACATGATGACGAGGGAGCGCAACCAGGCGCGCCCCGCTTCAGCCCGCCTGCTTTTGGGCTCAGGTGCACAGGCTGAGCCAGACCCCACCCGCTGCGAGGAGAAAGGGAGCCAGGCTCCTTGCGCGTACGCCAGGAATCGTATTCAGCCCCGTTTCATTCCCTTGCCCGAGCACTCGTGGGGTTAAGTAGGTAGGCCCCCGCACACAGAGTTGAGTGAGAGGAGTTGGCGTGGGGCTGTTGGCCACAGCCCACTAGATCAGATAGCTGCAGGCAGCCAAAGACACATAGACCGGTATAGCGCGTTTTGAGAAGCATGCTTTTACGTTTCCGGGCCCAGAGCGGATCGGACTGATCATCATCCGACGATGCCGTGGGGCCCCTCCTGCTTTCAGGGAGCAAATGACAGCTTGCACCCTCGGGGTGCCGCGCTGAGGAGGCGTGCAGACATCCGAGCAACAAGCGAGAGATTGTGAAGCAGGTTGTCCGCATCCACTGGCTTGTCAAAACACCCGCGCCAGGAACCATAGCAAATACCCAAAAATAGTAGAACATAGTCTGGGGACGATTTTCTTTGTGTTTGGCTATTCTTGGCCAGTTTTTGACTATTGTAGAAGCCTCCGGCCAGTGCCGCCGATCCGGGACGATCCCGCTGTCAGAAGGATGTTTTCGCCCCAGCGCGCTTGTTCAAACGTAAGCGGTTTGGAAACAGCTTTGAGGCATTGCGGGGACTTCTTGAGGGGCCTCTACGTCGCATCTTCGAGGCCTCCTGCGGGGGCGTCTTGGTGGTAATTGTTGAGGCTTTTGGGGGCATTTGGGCGCCGACGACGCCGGGTGGGCGCGCCAGCTGCCGCAGCGCGGGGGATGGCGATCGGGCGTCGGCGGGGCCACGGGGTCGGTTTTCTAACAGCGGGGGGGCTTCGAAGGGCTTCGATGCATTATGACTCCATCGCATCGTATACAACATCTTCGTGGGCTGCAACGGCCGCCGCAACGAACTCATCCTGGGATGGCTCTCCCTCCTCCTCCTCTTCCTCCTCCTCCTCCTCCTCCTCCTCTTCCTCCTCCTCATCATCATCATCATCATCCTTCTCCTCTGCCTCTTCGTTGCTCAGTTCCTCCCCTATCTTCCCATTGCTCTCCTCCTCCCCGTGGGTGGCGAACTCTCGCGTGCCGTCGGGTGCCCTGCAGGTGTGTAGGACGAGCGCCGTAACCGGCCCCCCTTTTTTTTCCGCGCATTTTCGCGTCATTTTCAACGCATGAGATTCCCACAAGGTGGTTGATCACACGTGTTTTTGCCAATCCGAGCGTGTTTGGTGTGTCCCGAATGGCGCTCCCACTACAGCGTTGGTTCCATTCTCTGGCTCCGTCGGTCCAAATCTTACTCCCGCTGCAGCGCTGACCTCATTTCTTGGTTGCGGATCTTCCAAATTTTTCAATTCGTGTTCCCGCTACAGCGTTGGGTTTCATTTTGGGCGCCCCCTTTTTCCGAACCGTTCATTTACATGTTTCGTCTTGCGTCATGCCTGGTTTTCCCCCGCTCATGTTACGTTCTGCCGTGCTCTTATACGCCGTGCTACGGCGCGCACAACCATGCATTTCGCACCCTCTCGGAATAATTGTTTTGCTCGGCATTCGACTGCGAATGGAGAGGAGATCTACGCCATGGTAAGTGATAGGAGGGAGGGGTAGGACGTCAGATAACACGCTTGCGCACGTAGCTTGCCTCCTCCTCTGTCTCCACCCAACTCCGCCTCAGGTATGCGTCTAGCGCTTCCCGCGACGTTGCCTTGCAGCGTCGTGTATTCTCGTCCGCCTCACTTCCTCTCCTACCTCCCCTCAAACCTCCCCCTTGCCCCCTCCTCAAAGCTCCTCCCCTGCTCTTGTTTTGCCTTTCTTCGTGATGGCATGGGCCTCCCGCGCTCTCGTTCCCCCTGGCAATCGGGGCGCCGGCGGATTCCTTTCCATCGACGAGGACAGGACCGGCTGCCTGACCAGGGAGCAGTTCGCGAGGGGCTTGCAGGCCCCGCCGTCCAGCAGGAAGAGTAAACGCAGGTGGAGGGAGGAGGAAAGGGAGGAGCAATAGGAGGACTGGCAGGGCAGGGGAGGGGGAGGCGGACTATGTGTGCGGAGAAGGCGGAGGGAAGATCTTCTCCTCCTCCTCCTCCTCCTCCTCCTCCTCCTCCTCCTCCTCCTCCTCTTTCTCGCCCTCCCCTTCTCCTCTCCTGCTCGTCCTCCTCCACCCCCTCGTCACCGCGCTCGCCCCCCCCCGTCCCCCTGATCCTCCTCCCTCGGGGGTACGAGGCGGAGGATGGAAGAGGATCAGGAGGAGGACGAGGAGGACACCGAGGGACGTAGAGGGCGAAGTGCACGGAGCAGCTCACAAGTGGCCTGCAGGAGCTGGGTATCCAGGAGGACCCCGACGAGCTCATGGCCGTGCTCGACATGGACCAGAACGGGCTCATCTCGTGCTCCCCGCCCAGCGTTTTGTTGCCGCCTCCTCTCCTTGATGGCGTGCGTTCCCTCTTCGCAGCCCCCTTTCATCTCTTACACTTCCCTCCCTCCCTGCACGTCCCCTCTTCGTATCGCACACCTCCTCCATCCTCCCTCCTCATACAAGTTTTCCATCAATCTCCATCCTGCTCGTCTTGCCTCTCCACCCCTCTCGACATCCCCCTTCCTCCCCCTCCTCTTGTTCCTTCCCCCACATCCTTACCCCTCCGTCTGTCTCATCGTTCTCACCCTTCCCCTGGGGGGAATTCCTGAAAGCCATCTGAACGCGTCAGTGACACGACACCATTGCCAGAAGGATTCGATACTCCTGGGAACCGCCAGAACTTCAATCGATCACCATCGAGTCAACATTGGAAACGTGCTTGAACCATTCATTATCATTTTCCTTCTCCATTTCTGGCCCCCCCTCCTCCATCTCCCATTTCCATTGATCCCTCCTCCCCCCTTCTCCTCCTCTCCTCTCCTCCTCCCTCCTCCTCCTCCGCCTCCTCCTCCTCGTCTTCTTCTCCTCCTTCTCCTCCTCCTCCTCGTCCTCCTCCTCTCTCCTCCTCATCCTCCTCCTCCTCCCCCCTCCTCCGCCTCCTCCTCCTCCTCCTCCCCCTCCTCCTCCTCCTCCTTCTCCTCCTCCTCTTCCTCATGGTCATTATCATCGTTATCATCAGCATCAGCATCATCATTATCAGCATCATCATCAGCATCATCAGCATCATCATCAGCACCATCATCACCATCATCATCATCATCATCATCATCAGCATCATCATCATCATCATCATCATCATCATCATCGTCATCGTCATCGTCATCGTCATCGGCAACCGCTGATGATTACTGCCCTTCTCTCTCTCTCTCTCTCCTGAGAGTGCCCAGCGGGGACGTCACCACTCCCACGCAATTCTCACCCATATGATTTCAAAATTAATATAATCAATCAGCCTGCGGCGAGGAGACGTGCGGCTTCCGATTTCGTCATTATCATCATCATCATCATCATCATCATTTGTGGAAGTTCGTGGATTCGTGCTTATGCCGTTTGGTTCCTGTCCTCCCGAAAAATATCCCATCCAGGGTGATCGCTCTCCTCTCCCTCGGTACACGGAGTTTCTGGCCGGGGTGCTCGGCTCCGAGGAGGAGCGGCTGTCCGACGTGCAAATGCGCGAGGCGCGCTGCCCGTAGGAGGCAGGGAGGTGGCCCGGAAACCGCGCCGTCCCTCCGCGCAGAGGGCCGCCATGACGAACACCGAGCAGTGGCGAAGCGTTTTGTATTGCGTATCGGCCCACCCAAAGGATGTTACGTTAAAGTGTTGTGGTCTGTGCGACGCATTATGAAACAATGTATGATTGAGATTGTATTGTTCTAGTACATCGGCTTCATGCTCTGAGGATATCATGTGTCTTGGAATATGTGTTCGTTCTGAAAGCATTTCGGTGCTGCTCCTTCAGCTTGCCCCTCCCCACCCCAAACGGATCGTTGCACCTGATTTTGCCCGAGAGGCTCAAGCCCTGCGCCCCCCGGCCGCCTCGCGGCCTGGATTGCTTCCGCAATCAGTGTTTTGACCTGCTCGTCGGAAGCCATGCCCTTGAAAGGTGTGGGACCGAGGTGTGCGTAAGGGAACTGGCCAGCGCGGTCGGTTTTGGGGCTCGGACCGAATGGCGTTGGATGCGCGCGTCCTCCCACAACCGCTCTCCTCCTGGATGGGTCGCCGTCTCTGTAGAGTTTGGTCCCTCGTTTTGGATAGCATTGTTGTGCTTCATCGATAACTCCCTGGATGGGTTGGTGTTTCTGCATTGTTTGAGCCCTCTTATTGAATAATAATGCTGTGATTATTTCTGGACTTCCCCATGCCTGTCCTCCCTTCTCCAGATATGACGTCGCGGAGGTGCTTTTCCAGTCCCTTACTTTTCCGTCCAGTGTCATCGTTTGAAGGGGCCCCCGCCGAGTTAGGGCCGGATGCCAGGACGGGGGGCAGCAGGAGAGGGAAGGGATGGAATTGGCGTGCCAGAGTGCCGGGGGGGGGGGGGGGAAGGTGAGTGCGCGCGCGCGTGTGTGTGTGTGTGTGTCTGTGTGGGTGTGTGCGTGTGTCTGTGTGTGTGTGTTTGAACCCGCGCGAAGCGACTGCGCAGTCTTTGCAATCATCGATTTCTCCTGGCTGGTTTCCAGCTGGCCAAAACTGAATAGCGAAGGTCCGTGCGGTGCCCGCGCCGTACCTGACCCTCTGAAGAAAACCACCGGAAAATATCCGAACGGAGATCCCAGGAGCGGACCCGCTGCCAGGAGGCGCGCCCGCGCAGAACCACGGAGCTCCTGCGTCCCCTGGCAGAAGCAATAAAAGCTCAAGGGGCGGACAGGCTTTCCGGGCAGACTTGAAACAATCCAGGCACGCCTGGGCTAGAGTCCGTGGTGGGTGAGCTCAGACGACGTGACCCTCGAGGTTGCACTCGAAAGCCGTCAGCTCGGGGCATCCCCACTCTGCGGCTAGAGCGGACAGCCCGCGCATGTCGGCAAACAGGTCCAGCGTGCAAGTGACGTTGCATCTACTATGCGCTTCCATGTACATATCCTTACGCAGGACAGCATCTTTGAAGGGATCTTCGGTCCAGGCGGCTGCAAATCCCGAGTCCCGAGAGCCCGTGTCAGCCACTACGTTGGAGCGGACCGGGACGTGTGAAGCGAGTGCCCAGAACCCCGACGCGCGTTCGGCGTTTTCGAAACATTGAGTTCGATGTTCTAAGTGCGGAAGGCGGCCGTATCTAGCGTTCACGTAATGAAGGGCACAAGCATTGTCCATTCTGAAGACACTTCTCCAGCCACGGAGACGGGCCCCTACCCGACGCAAGCATCCGGCTGCCACCCACAATTCTTTGTATTGTTGATGGCGTCGGCCGCGGAGCATTGCTCCTGCGTTGCAAAATCGCCGGGCCACGTGCCGGACACTACCACCCCCGAGTTGCGGAGGTTGTAGCTCCAGCCGTGGTCGGGCGAGGCGTCTGTTTCGATCACCTGCACCTTGCCGTCTGCTGCGGGCGCGCAACATTTCGCAACATCGTGGGGTTTGTACCCCCATGGCGACAATGCGCCCCCCTCGCGAAAAATGCATCTGCACGGAAGCGTGGCGAAAGTGTGCGTCAACCGCGCCGGAGTTTGCCGCGTGTTGTCGGATAGGCGCATTGGCGGGTCCGCGCGGAAAGAATTCTGCCACGCCCTGCATAAACCCTGGCAGCATTCAGGTCGGTCCAGATAGGATGTAGCTTGCGCCGGGCTTGCGGCAGCAACTCCGCGAGATGGCTGGCGATCCCCGCGGCCACGGCGAGTTGGCGACTACGCAAGGAACGGCCCATGTCTGCCGCGAGCACCTCTTGGCAGACGCGCGCGAGTTTGTCGCATTTCTCCTGCGTGACTGTGACTACGGCATTAATCGCGTCGAAACTCCAGCCGATCAGCGTTGGCGGGTCGCTGGCCCTTTCAAACTAGAAGGCTTTGTGCTGACGGGTGTTCTGCAATATCCCCAAAAAATTCCAGTGCAGCGTGGACCACGCCTCGGACCTCGACGTGGCTGCGCCGAACAAGTCATCGACGAAGTCCAAAGGTCGACTCCCCTGTGCTGTTTGAGTAGTCGCAAGACCTCTTTGACAGAGGCATCGTTGATGCCAGGGGCACTTTTGAGGCCGAACGGGAGAAAGCTGTACTTCCCGAGCTACCGCGTGCCAGGGCGGTAGAAGCCGAGGTGAAGGGCGTCGACCTCGGCCACCTTCCAGTTGAAAGAACAATCTTGGATATCCAGTACAGACATCCGACATCCACGACGAGGATGTGAGACATTGTCTTGCGGACTCCAAGGCGCCGTATCGGACCCCGATATCAGGGATAGGTTCGTTGACCCGCCCCCTGCGCAAGTCAACGATGAGGCGCGCCCTAAACCGTTGCTCGTCCGGAAGATAATCCGCAGCTCCCTCCCGCGGTTCCAGGAGAAGCGCGCACGGGTTCGCGTCAAACCCGCCGGCCTGGGTTGTCCAGGTGGGTACAAATTCACCTTGCCTTTCGCAAGGCGGTCGAACTCCTGCTCGGCCCACGGCTGCTGGTGCGTCGAGCTGGACGCCGTCCAGCCACTGAGTGAGGAACTTTGGAGCCGCCCCGCATTCTGCCAGGAAGTCGAGTCGGAGTGTCCGACCAGGAGTGTTCTGCCACCAGCGCAGCAGGGGCAGGGGTTCCACGTCAAAGTGTGCGCTCGAACCACTAGATGGTAGGCGCATGCTGCTGTGAGCCGAATGGCTGCGGAGGAATGATGGAAGGGGGGAGGCAGGGGTTGGAGGACTCCTCTGCTCCTGATGGAGCGGGTCGAGAGCCCGGAAGGGTCGAGAGCCGCCAGCGCCAATCTTCTGCGACCGTGCCTCTGAAGTTGTGCCAGCGTTCTGCGGGTGCACTCTCCGCGAGCTATTTCGCAGTCCGTTGTGAGACTGATCGCCTTCGTCCTCTCGTTTGAACGGCGCGTGAGCCTCCTCCTCCTTTCCTCCCTCATGGGGGGTTGGGGGTGGCGGGTGAGGAGAAGGTGGTTGTCAGGGGAAGAGTCGGCGCTGTTCTGCCGTGTGAGAGGAAGGCAGCCCAAGTTGGCGAGCCGCCGAGTCGCTCCGGAAGGTGGCCACCTGAGTTTAGACGTGCGCCTCGGCAGCTGTCGCGCTTCGTTTGTGACATCCCTGAAAGTCTGGCTTCCAGGACGCCGCGGGCGAGGTGTCCCGGGCCGTTTCGCATGCGACATCCTCGAAACTATAGCCCCGAGAAGCCGTGCGAGAGATGTCCTGGGCCATTTTACTTGAGACATCCTCGAACATCCAGGCTCAGGGACGCCGCGCGCGAGGTGGTCCGAGCTGTTTCGCCCGATACATCCTCGAATTTCTGAGCCCCGAGGTGCCGCGCGAGAGGTGGTCCGGGTGGTCCGGGCCGTCTCGCTCAAGGCAGTCTCAAAATCTTCAACCCCTAGATGCCGCGCGCGAGGTGGTCTTGTTTGTTCGCCTGCGACATCCTCGCAACTCTGGCCTCCGAGCTGCCGCGCGCGAGGTGGGCTGGCCCATTTCGCCTGAGACATTCTCACACTTCGGTGATCCGAGATGCCGCGCGCGAAATGGTCTGGCCCGTTTCGGGTGCGACATCCTCGCAACTCGGCGTTCCGAGCTGACGCGGGCGAGGTGGTCCAGATCGTTTCGCTTGAGACATCCTCGCAACTCTGAGCTCCGAGCTGCTGCGCGAAAGAGGTGGCCCGGGCGTCTTTCGCGTGAGACATTATCGCGCCCCTCAGCTCCGAAATGCTGTGCGAGAAGTGGTCCGATTCGTTTCGCCTGAGACATTTGAGAAACTACGTTCAAGGGTGTGTGTGTGTGCCACACACACACTGTGAGGCCCGTTCCGCTTGAGATATCCAATCAATTCTAGACGCTTCGCGTATCCCCACCAGCCCGTCCAGAAATGAGCCCCAGAGGAGTGGAGGTGATGAGGGAAGCGGGGGAGCATGCAGAAGAACAAAGAGCGGGTTAAGCCGCCATACGTTCCAAGAGGGGGAGGATGTAGGAGGAGTCGTCGTCGTCGGAGTAGGAGGAGGAAGACGAGGAGCAGGAGGAGGAGCAGGAGGAGGAGGGGGAGGAGGAAGAGGAGGAGGAGGAGGAGGAAGATGAGGAGGAGGAGATGGAGGAGGGCGAGGACGAGGAGGACGAGAAGGAGGAGGAGGAGGAGGAGAAGGAGGAGGAGGAGGAGGAGGGGGAGGGGGAGGAGGGAGGAAGGAGAAAAAGAGGAGGAGGAGGAGGACAATGGCGAGCTTGGGGGCCTCTTGGGCCGTCTTTGGGGCCTCTTGGCGGTCCCGGGGGCCTCTTGCGTATCTCGGGGAGCTTCTTGTGTCCTTTTGGAGTCTCTTGGAGGCCTCTTGGAGGCCTCTTGGGGGCCTCTTGGGGCCTCTTGGGGCCCTCTTGGGGCGCTCTTGGGGCGCTCTTGGGAGCCTTCGGGGCGCTCTTGGGGCCATCTTGGAGGAGATCTATCAAGAAGGGGGGGTTGCTTATTAGCGTTGCCCCTCTAGAGTGCCTCGAATCGCCTCTTGGGCCTTCCTAGAGGCCAAAATCCGTCCAAAACCTAAGGAAAATCAATGTTTTTTGCTTTCTCGCCTTTTCGCTCTTGGAGCCGTCTTGGGCCATCTT